CAATGAGATTATTTCAAGTGTCAAAATTCAAATTCAATTTATTAGAGAAAGCATGTGGAATTTTTTATTTGAAAGTGTAACCAAATTTTGTAAGAAATACATAGTTGAGGTTCCTCAAATTAAAAGGATGCTAGATATGTTACTTTAGGACGAAGAATAAGAAGAAATAACAAATTTACATCATTATAAGGGTGAGACGTTTTACAGTATTAATTTTGGATATGCAACTTGGAGAACTGCTCGATTCTCTAATTAAACAATGGAATTTCTTGTATACATTGTTTGTCTTGTTCCATCTAATTTATTCTCTCACTTTGACAAGGACATTACTTAATCTTGTTGATTTTTATCGACAAGACTTCACCGAGCTCGACAAATGCAAGCTCAATGATCGCTGGTTGCAATAAGACGTTGACTCAAATTCAAACTTTTTGATGTGTATAAGATTATTGATTAGGATAAAGACAACCCTTAAAGACTAATCATGATGTAAACATAGATAATGCTGATCACAAACAATTTATTAATTTATTGTTTTGTTAATTAAAAAGATGGTCATATGTTGCTAAAATTAAATTATAACTCTATCACTATAATATTTAACACATTTTTTTCCTAGACTTGTTGTACATCGTGTATGACATTCTTCTTCTATATACCTCTAAACCGTTCGTTACATTCTTCTTCTATAGGCCTCTAAACCGTTTGTTAGCAATTGTGGTGGTGATGATTTACAAATGAACTAGCCCATATTTCTACAAGAGAACAAATACCTAATAGACGGTCAAAATTACTATGATCGGACAGTTTATACTAATTATTTATATAGCTATTTACAAAGGAACATTCTAGAACTATTCTAAAATATTATAAAAAAAAACATACACTATTCCATGAACATCTTAGAATATGTATTAAGTGTAGAGAGAATTAGAGAAGCCTTTTAGAGATTGGCTCGGACTTGAGCTTTGATTTAGTCGTTCAGCTGGAGGGGTTTTATCGTAAAATAATACATAGTTGAGGTGGTATTTTTGTAATTTGACCTTACCTCGGGGATTGGTCGTAGGGTTGGGTGGGAGGGGGGCGCACGCCCATTCTCTACTCTGGTATTTTAATCTTAGTTTCATGCCAATGTTAATTACGATTAACTTTATACTAATTACACTGGTATTTAGTGTTCTAATTTTGACAACTTCAACGAGGACATTTTTCACATAATCAAGCTTATTAGTGTCAAATTTTCGGTCGATAGTTCATTTGAGACCTATTTGAAAGATGTGATATGGTTTCGTTATCATTTAAAGCAGTTATGTGCAAGGCTGGTTTTTTTTTTTTTTTCATGGTTGTTTTAAAAATATAAAATTTAATAAATGAATGGAAAATTTTATATCAAAATTGAAAAACAACAAATTCTTTAATTTATAGTATTGACAGAACAAATTGCTAAAATTAAATTATAACCCAACCATTGTAATATTTATTATTTTATAGGGTCTTTCTAGGGTGAGATACCCCATGTTCTAAACTTTTATGAGATATGCATTAATCACCATTAATTTTCTAAGATTAAATCTGGACCCTAGGAAAATAACATGGCTTATGTTCTAAAAAATGAAGTACTTTACCAAATTATCCTTCGATTATTTTTTTTATTAAATTAATATAAAATTGATTAACATTGAATTGTCTAATTTACCCCCTACTATATTTTAATTAAATAATTAATTTAAATTCATTGTGAATGAGTTTTATTTGATAAATAATCGAAAAAAATGCATTCATTGGAAATCGAACTTGTAACCTCTTAATACATTTATCACTCCTAACCATCCAAGCACATTAACTTATTATGAAATATTTAACCATAATTGTATAAATACTGTTAATGCAAATATTAATTGCAACATTCATTATTATTAAATGGTATTAAATAAATTATTAACAAATTTAATAAAATAAAGTTTGAAAAATACAAAGAATTGCAGTTCAATACGCCAAACATCTATCATTAATTATATAATATTAGAAGTATTAATAAAATCCACAATTTAAAAATGTAAAGAATGCTCAATTAAATAAAAAAAATGCATAACTTAATTCAAACTCACTTATGTTATTTAGTCGATAGTGTGGCAAATCCAAATAAAAATTAAAATAATATGTTTATTTAGAAGAAGAAAAAATTATAACTCATTCCAAGTAGTAGTTTTCTTACTTTAAAATAAAATTATATACTACAAATACTATATATTGTGAATTTTATTTTAATATTTAATTTAATCAACTAGTAAGATTTGAATCGATGAAGTACAAACCCTTTCAATTAGTAAACATTATTCAAATATTTGAATCAGTTACTTAACTATTGACATAACATGTTACAAAATTGATTTAACTATTTATAAGTAATGTCTAATATCTTTTTAATTCAATTTTGTCATAAAAATAATAAATTTAATTCCTAACACATGTAAGAACCTAATCGTAAATCATAATATTTTATCAAAGCGTAATATTTGAACCAATTAAGCTCAAGTCCTTTCAATTCGTAAACATTATTCAAATATTTGAATCGATTCATTAGCGCGCTCAACTATTGACAAGAACGTCTTAATCAAATTAACTATTATTAATTAAAGTGTAATACATTTTTAATTCAATTTTATCATAAAAAAATAATTCCTAAATTACGCAAGAATCAAATCATAAGATTAATTAAAGCGTATGATTTGAATCAATTAAGCGCAAATCCTTTTAATTTGTAAATATTATTCAAAAATTTGAATCGATTAAGTTCAACCACTGACAAGAACGTATTAATCGAGTTAACTATTTATAATTAAAGTCTACTATCCTTTTAATTCAATTTTAACAACAAAATAATAATTTAATTCGTAAAATCGTAAGAATCAGATCGTAAATCGTAAGATTTAATCTAACCATGAACCGATTAAATCTTACGATTTTTACCAATTAAATTTTATTATTTTTTATAATAAAATTCAATAAAAAAAATTTACTAAACTTTAACTATACACAGATTGATTAATACGCTATTATAAATTATTGAGTTTAACCGATTCAAATATTTGAATATTGTCTACGAATTGAAATGAGTTGAGCTTCATCTATCAAATCTTTGAATATTGTTTTTGAATTGAAAACACATGAGTTTAATTGATTCAAATATTACGATTTAATTAAATCTTACAATTTACGATTCAATTCAAACTTCAAATTCTTTCGAAATTAATTTTTAAATTACACGAGTCGAACAACATTTACTTAGATTTTTAAATTATATTATATAAAGATTTGTTAGTATGGGATATTTTTAATATATAATAATAATAATAATTATATGAGAATTAATAATTTATTTAACATTATTTATATAAGTTTT